TTAGATTTGGAATCTCCTCCTTTATACCTAAGTCAACCTAAAACACAAACGTGTAGGTACTAGAATAATGGGAAGGGCTGATTATGCAAGTTAAAGAGAAACATGATAACAATACAGAATGCTAGAAATATGCTCTGTATTCACTGAAATAAAAGTGTTTAATGGTGTACAAATGAGGGTGGAGAAGCCCTCTATTTATAGTTGAGGCTCCAGCTACACTTAATGGCAATATCCATAGAATCAAGGCTAAAATCAATGAATTATAAAGATTACAATCAATCAGGATTCTAACTCCTGAATTCTAGTCACAGGTCGAGACTTAAGCTCCGAACCCGTCTGGCTCCGGAACCCAGACATCCACTCATTGGCGTCCCAGCGTCACGAAGGCTGGCAACCTTGTGACGCCCTCGTCATGGAGGCTGACCACCCTGCCTACTTCCTTCGAGGCACTTGGCGTGGGTTGAACAGTTTAGGGCTGGCTCTGATATCACTTGTCACGGATCGAGACTTAAGCTCCGAATCAGCGTGACTCCAGGACTCAAACATCCACTCATCAACGTTCTAGATCAGCCTACTTGTCACGGTTCACACCATTGTGAGATATTATCTATTCTGACCCTCTGGCCTCACGGTTTTATCCTACAAAAGGTACCTCACAAGGAAGAGATGATGTGAACCTTTTTATACCCTAGTGACCCTTCTTTTATATTCGATGTGAGATTTAAGACTTCTCTTTAGGTCCGTGACATATGCACATGACACAATATTAAAATATAGGATAAAAATATATGTAAATAAGATAAGTACAGTTACATTACCTAATCCAATAAATAATGAAAGAGATCAGCTAGTAGTAGGTAGCCATGTTCATGTTTCTCAGTCATTAAGAAGTGAAAATGCATAGAATTTTCAAAGAATTATTCATGAATATGTTTAGATTTTATTCATTTACATTCTTTTATTAAGTTTAATAAGTGATTTTAAATAATATTTTTATGTTCATTTATTAAATGAGCTAAATATGAATAAAAATCTCTTTTGTTTGTTTATGTTCGTAAACAAGTTTATTTAAAACTCGTTTATTTATTATTTATTTACTATTTGTTTATAATAATATTAATAAAATTACATTTTTATCTTTTATTTTAATCCTATTTTAAAATTTGTTTATATTTATTTGGGTTCGTTTACGTTCATTTAAGATTTGTTCATTTAAATTTATTTTGTTGTGGTTTATTTATTATTCATAAATATATTCATTATATATATGTTCATGAACATTTTCATTTAATATTTACAAACGAACTCGTTTAATTTAATTAAACGAATATAAACCGAACACAAATAATTTATTATTTAAATAAATGAACATGAACATATAAAGTAATTTTGTTAATAAATATGAACTGAACACGAACACGAACACTTCTAAAAATAAATAAATAAACACAAACATACTTTCATTTATTCATATTCAATTCATTTACAACCCTACAATCATTTATGAAATACGCTACAAACAAGAATGAATTAACTAATATATTCTATCATTACCACTCTTAACATCTAGGCCTGCAATAAAATACACTCGTGGTTAGCCATGTCAAACATGTGTTTGGATCTAGCTTTTTTTTAAGCAATAAAATTTTTTTGAATTTTATTCTGTGTATATTTTTTTTGGCTGGTATAAATAGATTTATTTATATTAAACTTAATAAACTCATAAAAAGTTATATTCTAACAACCTTTTAAGACTTACCATCTGACTTTTTCATTTTGCCTTCCTTATAATTTATTAGAGATAAAATAAATACATCGATCGAGCTACTCATGACTTAATTCATTTAAAAGTGATTCAACCAAAATTTATTAAAACTCCCATCTAAATTCAAACTGAGTCAAAATCAAATTTAAAGTGTTAATATATGTATATTTTCTAACATTAAAAGTACCTTTTATATATATCATTTTATATATATCATAGAAAATTTGAAATACATAATTGATTAAAAGGGTTTAAAATGTTTTTAAATTATAATTCAATAATAATTTAAAATTTTAATATTTTATTACAATCACTCAAATTTTTAATATTTTAATTTGATTCAATTGAATTTTTTATTTGACAAAATTTAGTCACGTAAAAAATTAAATCAAATAATTTTTAAAATTATAATCAATTGAATTCTTAGATGTATTTTAAAGAAAAAGTAAGAAAGAAAATAGAGTAAAAATTATTTTATTTAATTTTTACATATATTAATTATGTAATATGGTAAATTTTTATATTTTTTATTAATATTACATGAAATTTTATATTAATTAAAAAAATTAAAGGTATTAATTTTTTATTCAAATAAGGGTTTAATTAAATATAAATAAATATTGAAAGAATTGATTGATTATAATAAAAATATAAAAACTTGAATAATCATTCAATTATAATTTAAGAACTTTTTATACTCTGCAACCTAAATATTTCCGTGGCTTCATCGAATAATTATGTATCACGCAATTTATTTGCATGAATACCTAGGACACGAGCCAATCATGAGAACACGTGAGCCAAAGTCGGGGAAGTTCCCAATTTCTCGTGAACCAATCACGGGCTGGTATACGATACATAGACACTCAATATAATTACTCCCATATGTGTTTTCTTTTATAAATTTGAGGATGAAAATGAATCTCAAACACACTCTTTTTTTTAATGTAAATTTTTTTTATTAAATGAGCTTGTTTCTCCTTTCCTTTTCTCTTAATTTAATAATATTGTCTTAAGAAAAACAAATTAATAACCATTATTACTCTAGTTGGTAAAAAAAAGTTTGATTTTTAACGTTTGATATTATTTATAAAAATCACCATAATAATTTTATCATTGAAGTGATTTTATTATAAAATTTATGATTTAAAATTATTTTATTTGAGTAACAATTATTAATTTTTAATAATTAAAAAAATACTATATTTAGTACTATTAAATATTAAATATTATTTTATTTAAAAGTATCCAAATCATATGAAGATTATCAAAATTATAACAACATTATTAGAAAGGTTATCAAATTATATCAAAAATTAATTACATTATAATTTATCAAATATTATCAAATAGATTATCAAAATTATATAAAAATTATAAAAATTTATCAAGGATTACTGATTATCAAAAGTATACATGTCATTCATTATTTTAACTTTTAAAATTCGTTTTATATATAATATAGATAACAATCAATAATATTCATTGATAAAATACAAATGCATGTCAAAATAACAAGTAAATATTGGAAATAATGAAAATTGAAGTTGGAGAATATAAAACATATACATAACTATACTTAACTCTTCTTTAATTAAAAATATAACATTTTCCCCTTTATATTAAAAGACCATGCACTATACCTTATAACTCCAAGTTTAAGATATTTCTTTACTTCTTCACCTAGGTCACTTGATTTAACCAAGATTCATTTATGAATTTGATTAAAGGGTTTTCGTTACATAAAAAAAAAAAACGTTTTATAATTGAATGTTCGAATGTGTCTTAAACTAGAAATGATAATAACAAAACTGCGAATTAGTGTGAATAGTATTATGCTTAGTGATCGCTTGATTTGAAATTTTTGTTAACTCGTGCAAAGATCGAATATGGTGCAAAAGCAAAGCAAAATATAATTTGGCTTATAATTCTTCAAGATGCAAAGCTATTTTGATGAAATTACGAAGTATGAAATGTTGGCTTTTTGAAATTTACAATCACTTAGCTGTGAAAAGATCATTTGATGGACTCCACTACAACACACCAAGTGCGAACCAAATATCTTCAAGGTGAGTTTGAATTCAATATTTACATAATATTGAATTTTTATTTTTAATGATCAAAATGATAACGATTCAATTTAATTGATTAAAGTTCAAAACAACCGCCAATGCTAATACCAAGAGTGAAAAATAATGATGATTCAGAAACATAACAAAAATAGAGGGGAAAGGAAGTCAGGCTTTCCTGCTTTCCCGGTTTCCACCATGAAGTCTCAGACAGATGCAGAAACTTGTTATTATGCCTTCACTGATTCCCTCAATCAAAAACAGGATAATTATCCCTTTTTTTTCAGTATTATAATTTATAAACGATGGCAATTGGCAAAGGGTTTGAAAATACCATCCTTTTGTGCATTATCAATCTTAATCATTTGGTCTTAGAGTGAATGATTCTTCTAATAATGGTGCTGCCAATACCCCACAAGATTTGACGGTTAAATTAGCCCCACTCTGCATGAAAAAAAGTAAAATTATATGCAAATAAACAAATACAAAAGAGACCCAGAAACTCCCAGACATGAAAAAGATTTTTAAAAAAACCAAATGGATGTAAATACAAGGTCATTATAATTGCAACAGAAGAGATTCGAGATGGATTCGTCTTAAATTATTGAGCAATTTTTTTCTATAGTTCTGAGTCTCAACGGTCATTCAAAGATCAAAGATAAGATGCCAATGGGCCCCTAAAATTGTAGGGACCCTTTAGGAGGCAAGGAAGGGTTTGGAAAGGGGTTCTTTCCCTTTGCTGTTTTGATGTTGAATCAAACAGAGAAAGAGAAGGAAATGAAGTAGCAAAAGAGTAGTTGTACAAAGCCAAAAGTATCCAAATGCAGCTAATGTTTTTTGTTCTTTGATAAATAGAAAGACCAAATAGCTCCCACAACAAATCTTTGGAGATAAAGGAAATAATATGAAAATATCTATAGATGCACGTGAAAAAACTTAATTGAAAGAGAGATTTCTTCATTCAAGATATTCCCGACAATCTTAAATACAATAAATACACTATATAAAAATGATACAAATAAATAATATAAATAGGACATAATTTAAAATTTTAACAAAAATTATAAATAAATCTAACAAAATTAAAAATATATCTTTTATATTTTTATATTAATATAATTAATAACATTATTTTTATATAAAACATAATATATATTACACGAAAACGTAAACTACCAGGGCTAATTCCAGATAAAATTAACGCACTTGCTTCTGCCAGATGCATTGGTTACGCAGGCAAATACTACAATCTGAAATAGGAGTTCCTTGTCAATCTGTGCAGTGAAAGTTCTCAACTTTCTTTTCTCTCTTTTCGTTACAACAGTGATTGAAACAGTGATTGAAAGCGAGGTGACAATGGGTGCTGTCCTCAACTTCTCCCACAAAGGGCTATGTAAAGTACATAAATGGACCTCCAAAATAGTAATAGTTCAACGCATGTGTAAAAGCTGGTCCCTCTCTTTATCTTTACTTTTTATAAATTCTAACCTAGCAACCAGGATCATGGATCCATCATGATTTGAAACAATGAATTAAATTGAATTGTCTGCGAAAGACAATGATACCAAAATCTTAAATGAATCAAAAATACAGAAATGAGATAAGAAGAACGAAAAACGAAATGGTTACTTTCATTGTACACATTCCAGTCTCTACGATTGTGTGGAGCTTAAAGCAAAACTCCCACTACAACCCAGACAGAAAATTGGAAGGCCCCCTACCATGGGAACAACTTGGGAGATAGAAGGGCCCATGGAGCAAAGCAATTCTTTGTCTATTACAATATAATTGCAAGCTCCATAGTCTTGCACAAATTGAACTCCTCTTAAACGTATTGCTATCGAACAATATACCCCGAAACTAGTCCATTGCACATAAACATTTTTACATCATCTCTTCTTTTAGAAGGGTTTATTTGACAAGGCATTGGAAAAGAGAACTCGACATAATTCCATTGCAGCAAGAAATGTGGTTTTCTTGTCCACATTATGAGTGTTCTTTAAGTTGAATCAATTGCTGGAATTGAAGTGCTTGAAATATATACAGGAGAGTTAATTCATACCTCAAAGTTCAAACCCCCTTCTCATATAGTCATATGTATGATTGTTCAATCTTGGAAGATTTTTTGACCCGGATAGGCAGGCCCTTTAACTCCCTTGCCTCATTAGCAAAAGGCTGTATGAAAGATCGCAAAGTAAAATTTCCCTCATTGGATTGTCCTTGTGAGCTTGCACTTTGAAATAAAGATGGTGTCCGTATAATTTAGACTACATAACTTCAAGAGCTCTGCAGACTTTTGCTTCAAGACAGGATTGCAACCACTCTGAATCACGAGAAGCAGCTTTGCTGCTAAACCTGCTTCTACAGCAACTAAGGAGCATTCTTCAGGGGCAAGTTTACATACAGACCACAAAATTGACAACGCATATTGAGTACAGCTTTCTGAAACTCTCATCAAAAGCCTCACCATATTCGGAATTGTGTTTGCGCAATCCTTCAAAGCTACTTTACCCTCCGGAAGAGAAGATAATGTGTCCAATATGAAGAGGGCTAATTCCAAGCAATCAGTCTCCAAGGCAGGCAACAATTCTACCAATTGAGAAACGGCTCCAATACTCACAATCAAACTCCCGACTTGTTTATGCAAGCATATAGATCTGAGGAAGCTAAGTCCAGGCAAAATTCCACTCGAGTGCCTCTTATCTTTGACCAAGCGCATTAACCCAACCAACAGTCGATGGCTGGAAATGCTCTCTGAGCGAAATTCCTTCTCCTCCATCAACTTCTCCATCAATCGCGTACAATTGATCTTTGTCTCCACTGACCCTTCATTCAGCATATCCACCATCAATGAAATCTTTGTCGGCTGCATCAAATTGGTTTTGGACTCTGAATCAAGCTCCAAATTGACAAGAATCCCAATTGCTTCTGAACCAACCGCATGGGACGTAAATGGGCCTAACAAGGATGAAATTACAGAAACCCCACCTTCATCAACCACCGTCTTCCTAGCCGTATCATGTGCTGTCACAACTTGCCTCAGCTCCTTCAAGGCTTGAATCCTGGCTTGACCCTTAACCTTCTTCAATGTCTCAAGAAGCTCACTTACCCTTCCTTGTACATCCTCTGATCTCTTCTTCATAAGCGAATATTTCTGCGAAAACCAAGTATAAATCAAATGGTAAAGGGTCCTATTTGGGGTAATAGAATCATCCCATAGCTCCTGCATTGTAGTGGGACAAGTATAGTGCCCCAAATTGAACCATTTGAGAATGTTGGACCTCTCATAAGTTTGGCCAGTGCAAAGGGTAACAGGGTCTTGCATTGGATCAAGGGAGATTGGACAAATAAACACAGAAGGAATCTCAGGTAAATCAAGCTCTTCAATCATTTTCTTCAGATCCAATTTCTCACCAACAGCAGCACCAATGACTCCAGCACCAACAACACCACCCAAAACCCCATCTTTAACAGCAGTATCCAGATCTAGAAACTGCCCATCACCGCTACCCTCAAATCCAGCAACAACAACCCCATCCCTCCTTGAGGGTTGAAACATAGGCATCTTTGAAACACTCCCTTTTCCCCCAAAAAATAAAACAACACAGATTCTCAAGGAACCTAAAAAGAAAGATTTTAAAACCTCTCCTCCACTCCCCCAACACACTTTCAATTCACAGCAGTGACAAGCACCCTTCAAGGCACATTACATCTAGGTTATACATAACAGATGTAAAACAAAAAAAAAAAGGATGGAAGTTGGTGTTTTTCTACACAATTCTTCTCTCATTGACAAATCATAAAGCATGAAAAATACCTTTTTTTTTCCTCTTTATTGAACAAACTCACATATATCTATCTCACTACCCTGTTCCTTTCCCTTTGCTTTATCCTGATCTCTTTTCTATGGTCAAAAGTCCCTCATTTTCCCATCATCATAATAACAATAATATCACCAATAAACACACAATAATCAAGCTCCCACCTTTCACTTATTGTTCAAGCTTCAAAAAAGAGAAAACAAAACAAAGGTTTGCTTGGAATCTCAAGCCTTCAAAACAGCAAAAATAAGTAAAGAAAAAAAAAAGGAAGATACTACTAAGGAAAGCAGTCAAAGATCGACAGTGAAAACATAGTACAAAAGCAATCAATTAACCGTTTTTCCTTCCCAGCCCAACCAAATATGGTACAGAAATTTGGAAAAATAAAAACCACCCAATAAGCAAAATATGAAAATTTGAAGATTTAGTAAAGATTATTAAGAGAAAAATTTTATTGTCAACAGAGACCATACCACCAAAGAGAGGAGCAGAGAAAAGCCATGTCCTGTAAAGGCTTCCCTACTGCTCGTCTTTTGGGGCCGTTGTTTGCTGGATAAAAATAAAATAAAATATATTTTATTTTATGTTATGTTATTTTTGCTTATTTGAAATAAGGAAATGTTTTAGTTTTACTAGAGTTAAAAAAAAAAAAAGAAAAGTTGAAAATTATTAGGTTACCCTCGACCCGGGTAGTAGCCGGTAATTAAGCCCCTCGACCCGCGCACCACACGTGCAGTCATATCAGTTCTTTGCCGTAATCTCCCACTATTACTTGCTTTTAAGTACTATAGTTTAACAGTTAAAAAGCAAAGGTATACCAAAAAGTTAGTTTCCATTTATATCCCTTGTAAGTTTTATTCGAATTATTGAATTTTCTATTCAAAGAATTTTTTTTTTCTTCTAAAAAAAGATTTTTTATTGAAAAACAGGAAAATGGGTTCCAAATCTTCAAGTTTATAATTTGATGTTTGTTTTTTAGCTATAAAAGAATCTCTTCTCACCTTAAAACTTCATCCACATATTTTACGTGGACACAATCCAATTTTAAAGCTAATAATCTAAAAAACTGAAGATATTTGAATGATTAATGCACTAATCATCTTAAGGTTTTGCTAATTTAGAACTTTTTAAGCCAAATTTTGAAATTAAAAAAAAAAAGAACTTTGGTGAAATATAATCCAAAGGACCAAATAGTCTTTTACCATGAAACAAGGGTACCCGCACGAAGAAAAAAGCTGGTCCAATTTCACTATAGTCCACAATCAAAACCCCCACGGGCAACTGTGAAAAAATATTTATCAGTCTTTAGCCTTTGCTTAAACCTAAATCCACATCTCCATTTAACTAATCCAATATTTTAGTCATTATTTTACTAAAAGCAAAGTTTTTTTTTCTTTTTAATTCTCTTTTTTTTTTTTTGGGGTAAGATTTTTAATTCTCTTTTGTACTATAAAGAAACGAGAAAAAAAAAATCAATGATATAAAAGGGCCCTCGTGGGGGCCCACTATGGGGAACTTCCCCCAACTCTTTTTTTTTTATTTTTGATTTTCTATTTTGATTTGTTTATTTTAGGTAAAGTGCCAGCAAAGCATTTGACCGTGACAGTTTTGCTTTGACTGGACGCCTCTGCTGTTTGGCTTATCCGGTCTTTGCTTTGACCACCTGTGCCCCGATTTCCATACCCAACCAATCACAACCTGCCACATGGAGTTTCTTATCTGTTTACTTTTTCTTTTTTACAATTAAATAATTAATTATTTGAAATAAGTATTTTTCTTACGGATTTTTTTTTAATTTTTCTCTTTTTTGATAGCAGCGAGTGTGGTACATACTTCGGGTTGGTGCATTGGGTGGTTAGGGTTTCAAAGAGTTGGGGTGGGAAAAAGGGGATACTGGCTTCTCAAAATTAATTTTTTTAATTAAATGAATTATTGTTTGGCCCAAAAATTAAATCAATTAATGAATTTAAATTTGAATTGATTATAACAAGGTTATTTGTTAAACAATGATTTTTTAATCAATATCTAATGTCAAATCAACCCCTTTGGATCATCATATCATTATTTCAATTGATCCAACGCATAAGCAATATCATGCAATTGAAATGTCAGCACAAATTAGTTGATAATGTTAGCACTAATTCATTATTAAAAATAAGATAAGAATACATTATTCTTATTTTAAACTCTTTATTAACTTTTATTAACTTTTTTTAAAAATTTTTTTATGTTTGATAATTATTTTAAATTTTGATTAATTTAAAATCAACTTAAATTAAATCCTATAAATAAAATAAATTTATTTAAATTTATTTTTTTCATTCATAATATTTAAAATCGAAACCTTAGAAAAGCGGGCTCTTACCATTTACTATATTTTGCTGATATGAATATCAAAATGTGCTTTTAAATTACCTCCAATACCCTCTGATCGATATCGTTATTTCTCTTACAAGTCACTTAAGCCTCCAAAACATTCAATTGACCAATTTTTCTGCAAACGTCCAGTCACCCTAACCCAGCAAACCATCAACAATATTAAAGATCGAGTTTGTTTTTTATATAATAAAGATATTTGTTTTTAATTTTATAAATAAGAATAAAGCATTTTATTTTTTATTTTTTATTATTTAAAGTCTAAAAATTTCATAAAATAAATGTGATATTTTTCTTAAAATTTGAGTAAATTCCGTACTTGATCAAAATGGTTGGATTTAATTTGATTAATTGCTTTATTTAAGGTTTGACAGGTATTTTTGTCTGAATTCATATGTTTTTTTAATAGTATTAATCCATTCCAAGATTCATTTAAGAGGGAAGAAATCGAGAAATGGGTTTTCAATGAATCTCAAATCTAAGTTTTTCATATGCCTAAAACATTAGGGAATCACATGAGCATATGCTATCATATAGGGGTATCACATGACCCACAAAATTGTGATTTTTTTTTTGGGTTTTTAATTTGTTTTTGTGTATGTGTGTGAAAATTCAAGAAAATCTTAATCTAGCTAAATTTTTTTAAATTTAATGTGATTTTTAGATTAATTAAAGTTAATAGCCTAAGAACGTTATGGTTTGAAATGTTGAACCATAACCTCATTTTTATTATCACTTTATAAAAAAGATCACTATCTAAGGTTTAAATCTTTCTTGTTTAAAATTTGGTTTGAAAAGCAAAACAAATTAAAATAAAAGTGATACAAGGGATGTGATTGTACATAAAAATCTTATTTTATCAATTGTCAAAAATTGATTATCCAAAATGGAATAATTATTGGTACTAACATATAGTAGTAATTATAATTAGAGATACAAAAGCGAAAGAAGCCCATAGAATAGTGGGCAATGCCCATTTACATCGTTGAATCCAAGCCTGATTTCAAACTCTCTTCAGATCAACGAAATTGGTCCAGTAAATACCTTTGGGCTTTGGGCTATCTAGGCTTCAATGCTGACTAGTAAGTTCTTTTTCTTTGATTAGTGCTAACTAATATTCTTTAAGTTATGCTTGGTTTATAAGATGGTAGATAGAATATAATGATAAATATTTTATATTATATTTAATTTATATATAAAAAAAGAGATAAGATTATAAAGAGAATTAATCATTTTCTTGATATAAGATGATTTAATCTTTTAAAAGTGAAGAGAATTATTTTAATTCATATGATTGAACTTACATATTTTATTATACTCTTAAAAATTACATTAATAATTTAAATTATATAAAATTTGAGGAAAGATAATTTTGAGCAATAAATAAATTATCTTATATTAATTTTTACATACATCAAACACAATATAGAATGATATTATTTAATTTTATTTTATTTATAATATCATTTTATTTTATCATATCATAATCATGTGTATCAAACACATCCTTAAGTCCTTCATATACAGTCATTTAGCAACGACCGTAAGAGTTCATTTGGTAAAGTCAGAGAGATTTTTATTAATATAGTTTTATGATTAAAGAGATTCAATTTAAAATGCAATTGTGACATGATGAAAATCTACCAAGTGAACCTAAAAAATGCTAGAAGAACAAAAAAATGTACTTGATTGCATATATCAAAAAGGAAAAGTGGGTTTCGATAAAAGAAATTTTAAATCATAACTTTTCATTTTTTAAGGAAATTTAAAATTTCATCTTAATGCTTAGTATATTAGCATTTAAATTTTCATTACAAAATTTGAAATTTGGACATAAGTGTTTTGATGGCACATATAAAGCATGTGTTTTGGATTCAAACAGGCACAAATCCTAACATCCCAAAAGGATGAATTACAATTCAATTCTCGTGAACCTTATTTTCCGTTTCCGCAATTGTCTATGATGTCCTATAGTTGACAAACTTGTCTGTCATACAAACAAAATTTTGCATGCAGGATAAGACAGCTAAATTGGAATACAACTTAGAGCTGTTAATGGGCACCCATAGCCATACCTGCAACAAGCACCCTTGGCCTAATGGATACGGCGCCTAACTTCTAATCAGGCTAATGTGGGTTTGAGTCCCATGTGTGCTTGCATTGATCATTGATTAACAGACTGGCTATCCATATAGAACACTGAAATCTTCATCAAACAGGCCTACAATGGCAGATCTAAGATTTTTTTTGAATGTTTATTTATAATATATATATCTTTGGCCTTTGCAGTTGAACTACTTCAAGTCTTCCGATCAGTTTTCATGGAGCTTCTAATTTTTAACTAATAAAAGCTTCCTGCTTCTGCTTCAAACAAGCAATTAACAACAAGAATTGAACAAGTTTTAAATTTAAGTCTTCAGCTCAATTCAAGCTCTAACTTTGTATAATTTAATCCATCTTCTCCCTTCAAACAAAATCATATCAACTTTTTAAATCAGAAGTATGAAGTAAGAAGCTCCACTTGGAAGTTTGAAATTTGTTTGTCCGCCTCACTGCATTATTAACTGTAAATTACAGATGCAAGCCAGCTTAGCTTGCTGATGACACAGTCAACTCTTTTTGTTCAATGGAATCCATGAAGTTGGCAAAATAATTCAAGTGGATATAATTATAAATTTTAATTTGAAATATTTTTTTGGTGTTATTGACATTGTAGATAATTGGTTAAAAATAAGTACATTTAAAAAAATGTTAATTCATGTTCAAGTGATTGGATGAACAAATTGATCAATTTGACTTTCAGAATCTCTATTATTTTATTATTACAACAAAAATTGTTCTATTTAACAAAACCTTTTCACTTGGTTGCTTGCATATGATTGAAAATCCACCAATTTTTTTTTTAAAAGATCAATTAAGCGCCAAAATTAATTCAATCATTCAGATCATGAAAGGTTGCCTATATAAAAAATTTATTTGTTTATACTTATAAGAAGATAAGTATTATTATTATTATTATTAGTTATAAAAGAAGCTGTAGTTCATAACTTTGATAGATCATAAACTATAATCTCCACCAAATATAAAATGACAAAAAAATTAACATAGAATTAAGTAGCTAATCTTCAATGTGGGTTTGACTTCTTAAAATAATTATAATTAGTTAAGTACAACAACAACAACAAGGGCTAAACAGACAAGATAATAAGAACGAACTTCATTTGTTCTTAATCGGAACATAGGATATTATTTTATATCTATTAATATTATTTTTGGAAACTTATTACCTTTAAAATCTCATAAAGATTATGTTTTTCGTTTGTTTTTTTCCATATCATACAATAAAAATTGAGGGTTATTTTTTTATAATTAAAATTATCAACGGTCGAATTTTGATTATTAAAATTAAGAATCAAATATTTTATTAATAGATTTCACAACTGTTAACAAATTAAAAGTCATTTTCATGTGCCAAAAATATGACATTTAATTAATTATGTATGATTAACAAAAGAATAGTTACGTCTGAATTATTTTTAGGAATTTATTAAAAAATAAATTAAATATTAGATGAAGGTAAGTGCACCATTATCTCATTATTCGAAGCAAAAGTAGTTCATTGGTGCGTGGTTCAAGTGGTAAATTAATTGTTTTAAAAAATCTGTTGAATATTAAAAAATTGATTTGAAGTTTAATTCTCATTTCATGGTCAAAAAGAATAGAAAAAAGTAAAAAATACTCTAAAAATGTAAAAAATATATATTTTTAATTTCTCCATAAAATAAAAAATTCAGCCTGCAATTATAGGGAAAGAAACCAAATTGGATAGGTTTGTTTGTCCTTTTCATTTCAAAACAATAAATATCCTCATAAAAAGGGGATTTCAACCATATTAATTATTTTATAAAAAGTTGTCTGAAATAGATATCTTATTAAAAAAGAAAGTTTAATGGTCATAATAATTTATTGTTGCTTTCTCTGGAATAAATAATGTGAAATTACCATTTTATTCTGAAATTTTTTAATTTTATAAAAAAGATTAATAAAATAACATATATATATTTTAGGATACATTTAAAAATAAAAAATTAATCTAAAATATTTATATACTTATCATTATATTAATTTTGCTTGTAAAATTAAAAAATTTCACAAATAATATGTCAAATAATTTTTCATAAGAAATACACAATCATCTTTGTACAGAATTCAAAACGTATAATTATGTCCGCTTCATCTCCACTGTTATTGTTCATAACTTTGAAAGCTCACTCAATCTAATTATAATGGACAATATTTGAGTGCAAGAAAAGGAAAGATAATGATTCAATTATTGACTTAAGTCCTTGCTTTGAACCAGGCTACTATTTCAATCTTTTCAGCCAAACATACTGTAATTTAACTCCGGTGAAAACAATATTTAGCTAATATACTGGATTTTCTATTATGTATTGTTCTACCTTGTTTGAATTATGAAAACATACCTTCGGCATTGCCTTGACAAAGTCTATAAATTCCTTACAATATTTCATATCCCCCAAACGGTTCGTTGGAGACTGCCAAGCAATCCTCTTTTTAATATAAAGAACATCCAAATCGCTTTCATGCAAGATTGACCACTCCTCTGTAATTATAGTGCTCAAGCCCTCTCCTTTATATAAAGAACAGCCAAAGCGACCCTGTTTTTCTTTATATGTATAGCTTTCAATCAATCGAGTTGTATCATCCATCCAAGAATTTTTAACTCCATTGTTTCTTTGTTTGTGAAAACAGCAATATGAGCAAGAAGGCCAGCAAAGAAAGCAAACTAAGCAGATATCTAAAGGCGCCCCTCCGGTTTCTGATCAAGGCCAGGGATTTCTATATAAAAAGCATGACAGAATACTCGGACAGGATTGGGTATGGCACGGTTATGGGTTGCCCTACAGGCCAAATTAATACTGTGCCTAGGAGCTATAGTGTCAGCTCAACGAAATCGGGCAACGGTGATGATGACTTGAGGGAACTTGTCAGGGCTGCTTCAACAAGGAGTTTGAGCAACAAGGTTCAGTTGGACCTTCATCGTAGACAACAAGCAAGGCTGTCGCCGACGACCGGAGCAAATAATATGCCTAGAAGTTACAGTGTTGGGATTGGGAGGATTGATGAAGACAAGCCTTGTGACTTCGAAGAAGATATCAAAGTGAAGACTGATGTTTTCCCAAGGAGCAAGAGCTATGCTGTTACAAAGGGAAAAGGTACTTTTTTCTAAGTGAAATTTTAAGGAATTTGCCGGAGAGGTTTTGGCTGGTGTTGGAGAATTTACATGTTACAATATATTAATTGTTGATAGAGCTAGAGTTTGTCCATATACTCGATTCAGATGTTTGCAGTGAAAAACACAGTGCCAGAAATCCAATGTCTTTCTTAATATGATTTTAGTTGTATTCATATGTTTCAGCCTTGATGTTCTGTTCTATGATTTGTAAATCAGGAGATTCAAATCTAATTTGTGTTTGATAATTTGAAACTAAAACTTTTGACAGGAATTTGGAGTTGGATGCATTAACCTAAATTATGTCAATGGTACAGATCAGACTAAATATCCAGGATTATGACACGATACTAGTAGGTTGATCTTCTCCTAGATTGTATAAAGAGTGAAGCATATATATATATGCAAGAGACTCTTTGATAATCTAGGAGAGGATCCAGCTATCAGTATAGTAATTTCACCATGATTCCACCTATTTAGCCTATAATTTGTACTATAAAGATTATTGTCCTATTTTATGAGAGTATGCATAATTTTTTATATAAATTCTATCAAAATTTTATATAAATCTTATATTACATAATTTTTTATCATGATTGAGTAATTATAATATTGTAGTAAAAATAATGACAGGTGAAATGCACTCATTTCATGCCAGGAAGCAGAGTATATAAAAAATAATCTCTTCATACAGAGAGTATTTTATCTCTAATCTAAATAAACATGGTGCAGGTAATTCTGGTGAAGTTCAACTGCGTAGTTTATGCTATTTTTTTTCCTTTAATACTCCCCGATCAGTTGTAAAAGCAGGTTCATGCGGTTCATTAAATTGTTTCAGTATTCTACAAAAGTTTCCATTTCACATTGCAAAAAATCTAGGTAGCATTGTATTGTCACATGAGATAAAGTAGGTAGACCCTGACGGAGTGACTACATTAATTCTGCCTTCTTTGCCGGGCCAAGCAAACAGTTTCAAAATTCAAAGTAGGTCGTAATCTTGACGTGTTTTTCTGGATAATGATATTAGTATGAGATTAAAAATAGTGATAAAAATAAAATTAATTATTATAATAATAAATTAAAATTAATGATAAAAATAAGTGTTTAGATATAAATATAATAATAACGGTAAAATAAGTTATAGTAAAAAGAAAAATAATTATTAAGAATATTAAATTAAAATTATATATAATAATAAAATTTTAAATTATTTAACATTTACAAAATTTATTTAAATTATTTATTAATGTATTGTATAATAAAATTTATTTATTGTATTAAATTAATAAAATAATTTTATAATTTTAAAATAAAAAATAAAATTAAAAGATTTTTTTTCGATTTAAAACAAAAGGACGAGGACAAAAATGAAAAAAGAAAAAAATTAAAGTAAACAAAAAAATTCAATAACCAACTGTCACCAATCTCACTACGCTGCAAACCCATTTAATTTCAACCGATCAGTCGGCATTGAAATTCATTGCAACCGAACCTCCACCGGAGGTGGACCGGTAGAGGTTCATTAGCAATTCAAATGCACTCTACGCCAGGAATACTCATAAGTCACGACCGTCTAATATACAGTGTCCCCTCTCTCAATAAAAAAAAAGAGTAGGTTAATAGAGAATAATAATAATAATAATCGAAAAAAAAGATATGGAAGGTCCAACGTAAATCAAGTCATCATCTTTATGAATTGAAAGGGTAAGAAAAGTTGAACTGGACCAAGAGACGATCGTGAATGAGGAAATCAGTGTCCAATGGGGGTGTCATTACATCTGGTTGGTAGGACATCGTTCTTACAATTATTTCATGATGGGCATTTTAATTTGCCGATTTATAGTGCCCAAGTTCCTTTTTTTTTTCTTTTTTAGATTTCATGTCCCTATTCATGGATTACACCTCAAAAGCTAGTTTGAAGGATCTTTATATCATAAAGTGATTATGGTGTTTAAGCCATTAAAAGTGAGTAGAACCATTAACGATTCAATATATAATACATTATTGATTTACCGCAATAAAACAAAGATACGATAGAGCTAGGACAATTTTTGTACGAGGTCTACCCTAAATGTTAAATGCAAAAGTGCATAATAGATCGATATAAACACCATTAATTGTCCTGTAAAAAGTTCAATTGTCACTGGTACTTTCTTTTTATTTCCTTGTTCTCTTTCTTTCATAACTTAAGCTCGTAGAAGAAAGACTATATTTATTATAAAATATTATCCGTTTTAAAAACTTAACGCAATTTTACTCACGGATTTGTTTTTTTTAAATACCTTGACATACTCACCATCTCTAGGTGCCTGGACACCAAGAATTAGGCCCTATGTCATGATTGTTAGCAAACTGGATTCAATACTTTTTGAAAGCATTTGGGTTGCCGTTGGAGAAATTAGCTATATCCCTTGACACCAGAAAGTCTGTATGGGCAACAAATCAGCTCTTCGAGATCAAAATGTCCTGGAAAATGGGTAGAACAACACATTGAATGCTCTACCCTACAATGGTCCACGCGAGTAGAGCTGTTATACCTTAATTTCCGGTATGAAAGAGAGGCTCAACTTTCTTTTTTCACATTTAATGGTTTGAAAAGTACCACGTTGACATTGCTAACCTGCACATTACCTGGATTATCTTAATTCTCAAAATTTTGACCTTAAAAATACAAGCAGATATATTAAATTTAAATGTCACAGATCAATTTAGAGTTTCGATAGAACTTTTCTTACCCTAAAAGTCATAATATTGATTCCTTTTTTGTTCCATTTCTTCCTCTCATAATGATCCATCAACATCAGCTACTTGCACAATATACAAATCCAGAAACCTAGCAAATCATGATATACAATCAATAATAGAAACAATCAACAAAAAACACAGCAAAAACAAACACAATCAATAGTAGCATTTTTTTAGGAAAATTTTCATTTTTTAGAGGTTTTGGATATAGAAATTTTAAAGCATTTTATTCAGTTTTTAGGGTGGGGATAAGAAAAGTGAAATTTTAGTAGAGTTTTGGTTTTGCTTTGGGAGATGATACACGATGTAATAGATGGTTGGTGCTTTTAATTTTGAGATAAGATTTGCATTTAGTTGAGGGATTTAAGAATTTAGGTTAGAAAAGTGAAAAGAGGGTGTTGTTTTTATCCAAAAAAAAAAAAAGATTTTTGTGGTTGGTGTTCAATAGACAATTGCTCACGACTGTGTTAGTGGTCGATTTTTGGATGTTAGTGGCTCTTGGGTTTTGAGATAAAATTTTTAGCGACAATTGAATTTTTCAATTGTTAGATTCCAAAAATCTCATCGAATTCGGGATTGTTGAATTTTTCAACAGGACTTGCAAAAAGAAAGAAGAGAGAAAATAAAGAGAAACAAAGAGAAAAAGATGAAAAAAAAAAAAGCTAATTTTTTATTTTGTTTTTATAACATGTTAAAATAGTGTCGTTTTGGAATATGGGTTTGGAGCATCCCATACGTTGACTCATCCTCTGATTTGATTATGACCTAACTAGTTTGCACTTAAAATCTTTTTTTTTTTTTCTCTTATATTAATTCAAATCCTAAATTTAACAATTAATTAATATATAAGAATTTAATTTGAATATATTAAAATAAAAATATTAATTTTATCTTTTGATCAAAACACAGAGATAAAATAAACAATTTAAAAAAGTTGACATAAAAAAATCATCATCATTTTTAACTACAACATCATTAAAAAAATTTGACACATAAAAAAAAATCAATGATCATGTACACAAAAATACCACGTTAAAAAAAAATTGAATCCCACATCATCAATTTCAATAGAAAAACCGATGCATACTAGCGAATCACACTGACGGGAGGCAGGGAACTTTGGGGCAGAACCAGAATTGGGCCATAATTGACGTGATAAAATTATCTGGATCCATTAAGTGTTTCCCAAGGTCCTTGTTAATTTAATTTGGGCCTTCTTCCCAACCGAGCACAGTGTGCTCCAAAACATGGACAAAAGTTTACATATAATGACTCCATCAATACCAATTGAACATCTGCAGCTCAACTAAATTTGCTCTGATAGATGATAGTTTGAAAGGGTCATGTTTAATATTTAAAGTGATAGATAAGATAAGATGGTAATTATATTATATTATATTTAATATGTATTTAAAGAAAATGATATGATTATAAAAAAAATTAATCACCTTATTGTTATAGGATAATTCAATCCTTATAAAATTGTAAAAATTATTTTTAATTCATAAAATTAAATTTACATTTCTTATTATAATTTTAAAAATGACATTAATAATTATATTATATAAATTTTGAAAAAGATAATTTTGACTAATAAATAAAATTATCTTATTTTATTTTTTCGATACATCAAATACATAATAAAATGATGTTATTCAATATAATTTTCTTTATAATATTATTTTATCTTATTTTATTATAATTTTATATATCAAATACATCTAAAAAAATTAAATTTAAATAAAAATTGAAAAATATCATCGATTGTATTAAAAAAATTAACTAATTTAAACTTTGGGCTTTACATTGCAACCTGTAAGGACATAAATGTAGGGGTTGGAAAGTTGAAGTGAAAATTGAAGGAAACGACCTTTTTTTTTTTTCCTTTTAAGTGGCCTGCTTGTCGGAAAAGTGGAAAAGTAGAAGGAGCCGAAAAAAGAAAGTAGGAGGGGCTTGTTTGCAAGTGGTCTATTTGTTTTCCAACAATTGATTTGAAACTAAAATTGGCCGAAAGAAGAAACAATTGCAACTAAAAAAAGTCCTGTTATTGTAGTACACAAGCTTTTGCAAGTGTTGCTAGTCCAGCCGTCCTACCCAACAGACAGACATCGATATGAAAGGAAAGAGGGCCCAGCTCCTAACAGGAGGGGCCACCAAATTGACCATGGTTTTATCCTTTCAGGCTCAGCCTTTAATTCCTCAAAAAAGCGTAGGAACCTTGATGTTGTACTCAGGAGTGCATCGAAGCTCTACTCCAATGACGGCCACAAGAAAGCAGAATGTCGTATCAGTACTTCCCTTGGAAAATTAAGCGCAAAGGGAGAAACTAGCTCGTATGATAAATGAGTGTCATTATTGGTGTAGGGGTGTTAATGGATGGGATTTAGGTAAGGTAAATTATTTTTTTTTTATATTTAATAAATATTTTAAATTTATCTTTATTTTTATTTTTATAAATACGCAAATTTTTCGTACTCATAATTAAAAAAAATTTTTTTTTATTTTTTTATTTTTATCTTATATATTTAGATAATTTTTTTATAAATATATATAAATATATTTTTAATAAAAATATATTAATTTTAATTAATTTAAAATAATAATTTATATTATTTAATAAAAAATCTATTTACTAAATATATATAAATATATATGTAAGGTATAGATATAAAACGAGTACTATAATATCCATCTCTATCATTATCCTTAATAAAAATTTAAAATCATATCCATCGTTATCTTCATGTTAATAATATAATATCCTTCCTCATTTTCATTCAGATAAAAAATCAAGTTTTCTATTAGGTACAAATAAAATTGACATCCCATATTGGACTAACAGGCACCATTAATGATTTATTATAGGTTAAATTATGTGAGAGGTTTTTGTATTTTGTAAAAATTTAGATAATTTTTATATTGTAATTCATATAAATTTAGTTACCGTATTATTTTAATTTGATAATTTTAATCCCATTAAATTATTAACGTCAGTAATGTTGATGTAATCGTTGATTTGATGATATAGACTTTAATTTTTTTGATACGACGATAACTTACTGATGTGATAACTTGAATAAATAAAATCAATTATTAAATTATGTAAATAATTTTTGTATTCATATAAAATTTAAATTTTAGTTTTTATATTCGTACCAAATTTAATTTAATATTTTAAAACATAAAAAAATTTTGTATGTTAGAGGAACTAGAAAAATTTAATTCCATAAATATAAAAATATTTTTTGAAATATATTAGTTTTTATTGTATATAATTAATTATTAATAATATCATATGAATAACAATATTATTCTCTTTTATATTAATTAATTATAATATTAATAATTTAAATTAATATATCAAAATTAATATTATTTTAATTAATTTAAATATATCATATAACAAAATTTATAATAAACCAAACTCTTGAATATATTTACATTTGTAATTAATTTGAAATAGACTGTGAATGAAATGATGATTCCATTCAATAAAATAAAATAAAATATTTAAACTTAAATTCTTGTGAAGGATGAGTTTTTATCCATTTGAAATACGAATTTTGAATCTTAATAAAACGAAAGAAAAAAATGATTTATTTGATAAATCAAAATATCAATATCGTGTATTATAATAACAACTTTTAATTTTTTTTTATCTTTACAAAAAAATTTATCTAAATAATTATATTAAATTAAATAATAAGATTAATTTTAATGCCAATGCACATTAAGTTTGGTAAATTACTTTAATGTATTTAGAATCTTAAATCTATATTTGATTATAAAAAATCATTTAAATAGGGTTTAATTTGAAGAAATAAAATCGTAATTTGATAGATAATTTTATCTTTATGGAATGTAATTATAATTCTAATTTATTTAATAAATTAATAAAGAATAATAGTTTTAATAAAAATAGATAGTGACATATTTGTATTTGATAAATTTATGATAAATTTTTAATAGATTGGTATAAATATTATTTTCATATAATCGTAATATATTATAATTATAATAAAAAAGTATCACAAAACTAGTAACAGATTTATATTTTATTACAGAATATAACAAAAAAATAATGATAGAACTAGTAACATTATTTTACATAGTTGACAAAAAATTTGAGATAAATATAGTGACAATATATGAAAATTATGATAGAATATTATGATATATTTTTTAATATTGTGATATAATACTATGAGAAATTATTGTGGTAATTTTTGAAATTTAATATTTGAAAAACTAAAAATTTTCTAAAATTAAAAATATTTTTTATATTAAAAAAATTAAATTTCAAATTTCGTATAAATATAAGGACTAAATTTTAAATTTTTTGCTAGTATAAAGACTAAAATTTCAAATTTTATATGAGTTCATAAACAATTTGTATAATTTAACAATTGATTTTATTAATTTCAATTATCATATTAATAAATTAATATCACATCAACAAAGTCAACAACTATATCAATATTTTTAACAATAAAAAATTGAGAGAGTTAGTGATTAAATTATAATTGTCAAATCAAAATAATATAAGGACTAAATTTGTATTAATTGTAATATAAATACTAAATTTTAAATTTTTAGAAAGTATAATAATTTCTACCTAAGTTAAATTTATTACAGAAATGTCAATCTTATTCATTTTTAATGAAAAATTTGACTCTTTATTCAAACAGAGATGAAAATAAATATTATATTATGAATATCAAGATGTAGATAAATATAATTTTAAATTTTTATTAGGTATAAAAATAGAGTTAAGTAATATAATATTAGTCTCGTATCATACTTTATATATATTTTTATATATTTAATAAACAAATTTTTTATTAAATAATATAAATTATTATTTTAAATTAATTAAAATCAATACATTTCTATTAAAAAATACATATTAATATAAATTTTTATAAAAAATTATTTAAATATGCAAGAGAAAAAAATAAAATAATTTTTAATTTTTTAAAAAAGTTAAAGGTATGAAAATTTACATAATTGCTGACATCACTGCTTTATTAGATTTCTGACTTATCGCTTCAAGATACTTTTGCTAGTTTTAAGCTCTTGTTCCAAATCTATCACATGTTAGTAGAAATTCTAGAGCAGAATCTAGCACGGATGGTTTCAAAGCATTCCCAGTTAGTATGCTTTTACATAGTCTTGGTCATGGTTTGGGATAGGCCTGCAGTTTCTTTTTCAACCATCAGTTCTCTTCCTGGATTTTCTGGTTCACTTCCCTTCAAGCTTGAAACAGGGTGAGCTTCTGATTAATAATGGTTTTAAGAATAGTGCTGGACGACCTAGAATTGTCATTATTGGTTAATCTTAATTGTGTCTCAGATACATAGGGGTGGGAGATGTGGAATTCTTCTACTATTTTATTGAATCAGAAAGGAATCCAGCGGAGGATCCTGTCGTGCTGTGGCTCACTGGCGGACCTGGCTGCACTGCTCTCTCTGGGTTTTTTCTTGAAATAGGTATTTTCTGAATTTTGTTTATATCCGCTATGCTATTCTATATCAAGGAGTTATGGACGGGTTTTTTTTTTTTTCATACTGTCTGACTTAGCTCATTTCCACCCCAATGGAGCCGGCACTAATATGGACATGATATTGATATAATATCTGATTTCATTTTAGGCCCCTTGAAATTTAACATGGTCGAGTACAATGGCAGCTTACCAACTTTTGCTCTGAACCCTTACTCTTGGACAAAGGTGAAATCATTCATGACTATATATAAAAACTCTGGGAGTTGATTACCGCTTCCTCTACTGATCTTCGATTTGTGAACGTCCTTGAAAACTGTTTAGGTTGCAAACATAATCTTCCTAGATGCACCTGTTGGCACAGGATTTTCTTATTCAAGGACTTTCTGTTGCGCCTGAAGCAATAATCACAACAATACAGAAGCAATAGACAACAATCAATAATCAAATGCGCAGAAAAAATAAAGCACACCAAGATTTACGTGGAAAACCCTCCAGTGTAGAGGGAAAAAACCATGGGCCACCAGAAAAATCTTCACTATCAAATAATAGTTATACAAAGTTCTTCTCTAGCTAAAACTAGAGCTAATCAACAACTAGAGAAACAATGAGAGAAATCTCATCAAATAAGTGACTCAACAAATACACCCTGGATTTGTTCCTAGAGAGCTTCAAACCCGATCTTCACCGTTCAGAATGTATAACTCTGAATCATAAACCTCCTGACAAGGTTCCAACTCAATCGGACCACGGATCGACTTCCATTTAACCAACTCTCCCTTCTCTTTTTTCTCTCTCTGTTTTTTCTGGCTTTTCTTCTTTCTCTGCTTGGTTGTCAACATACACCTTAAACAACCCCACCTCTTTTTTATTAAGTAGCTAGGGCTCTGTGTAAAATAAAAGATCAAGGCCCATGGCCTTTACTTGGTCCAAAACCACTTATATGGGACTGGACCCCATTTTCCTAACAATCTCCCCCTCCAGTCCCATTAGAAGGAGATTCATTACCATAGCAGTTTCATTTGGAACTTATCTTGGCCAGGGAACTCATTCCGGCCAAGTTACTGCAAAGCTCAAGCTTTTCCCTGGGAAGTATCTTAGTCAACATATCTGCCACATTTTTATCAGTATGGACTTTCTTCAATAGCATCTGCTGTTCTTCAATCACTGAACGTAACCAATGATATCTAACATCAATGTGCTTTGTTCTAGCATGGTACATGGTATTCTTACTCAAATCTAAAGCACTCTGGCTATCACAAAATACCACATACTCTTTCTGATTCAACCCCAATTCAAAAAGAAAACGTTTCATCCAAAGCATTTCTTTACATGCTTCAGTTGCTGCAATATACTCAGCTTCTGTAGTTGACAAAGCAACACACTTCTGTAACTTAGACTGCCAAGATACAGCTCCTCCTGCAAAAGTGAACAAATACCCTGAAGTAGATTTCCTACCATCAAGATCACCTGCCATGTCAGCATCAGTAAATCCTTCTAGAATTGGTTGTGAAACTCCATAAGTCAAATACATTTTTGAGGTATCCCTCAAATATCTAAAAATCCATTTTACTGCTTCCCAGTGAACCTTCCCTGGATTAGAAAGAAAACTGCTCACTACACCAACTGCATGAGCAATGTCAGGCCTTGTACAAACCATAAGATACATTAAAGAACCGACTGCAGAAGAATAAGGAATACTAGACATAGCTAGTTGCTCTTCCTTAGACACTGGACAAGATTTCTTACTTAGATGAAAATGGTTGGCAAGTGAACTGCTAACTGATTTAGCATGTTGCATGTTGAATCTACCAAGCACTCGTTCAACATACTTTTCCTGTGACAACCACAGCTTTCGAGCTCTCCTATCTCGGATAATGTCCATACCAAGAATCTGCTTTGCTGGACCTAAATCCTTTATATCAAAGGACTTAGACAATTGTTCTTTCAACCTGCAAACCATACTAGCATCTTGTCCTACAATCAACATATCATCAACATATAATAATAGGATAATGAAGTTACCATTAGGGAATTGTTTAATATACACACAAGAATCTGCTGCTGTTCTTTTATAGCTATGACTCACCATAAAAGAATCAAACTTCTTGTACCACTGTCGCGGAGCTTGTTTCAAGCCATACAAGCTTTTCTTCAATTTGCAAACTAAGTGCTCTTTCCCTTTCACTTCAAAACCCTCAGGCTGATTCATATAAATGTCCTCCTGCAAATCACCATGCAAAAATGCAGTTTTAACATCAAGTTGCTCAAGCTCAAGATTCAAACTAGCTACCAATCCCAGTACCACTCGAATAGAACTCATTTTTACAACTGGAGCAAAAATCTCATCAAAATCGATGCCTGATTTCTGAGAAAAACCTTTTACTACCAATCGAGCTTTGTACCTCACTAGTTTGTCACCATCTTTTTTCAACTTGAACACCCATTTATACTTTAATGGCCTCTTCCCTGTTGGAAGTTTAACAAGATCATAAGTACCATTCTTTCGCAATGACTCCATCTCTTCTTTCATTGCTTTTAACCAGTGCTCTCTATCCGAAGTAGCCTGTACATCTTGAAAGCTTTCTGGCTCCCCTTCACTGGTAACTAAAATAAAATTTGAACTTGGATACCTGGTAGATGGCCTGCGCTCTCTAGTAGATCTCCTGAGCTGAGACTCTACATCACTTGATGCTGAAGGTAGCTCCCCCTGTTCAACACTCTCAGGTAGAGAGGATTGCTCCCCCTGCTCAAAACTAATAGCATCTGGCTCATCACCAACTATGGCTGGCTCATTCATATCTCCAAGTTCTGTTTCTGGCTCATTTTCACCATCTGTGGCTCTTTCCTGTGAAATCCTGTCGGTGTTGAAACATCACACTCAACAGTAACTCGTGTAGTCTTCTCATTTTTCTCAAGGTCTGCTATGATTTCTTTTTCATGAAAGACCACATCTCTGCTTCTGACTGTCTTCTCTTTACTGGATCTCAATACCCTGTAGCCAAATTTCTCATCACCAATATCCTACAAACACACACTGTGTAGCTTTACTATCAAGCTTTGACCTCTGCTCTTTTGGTACATGCATGAATGCTTTACACCCAAAACTTTTAAGTGAGAGTATGACAGCATCTTTTCCTGTCCACACTCTTTCTGGAATGTCAAAGCCCAAAGGAACTGATGGTGACTGTTAAGTAAATAACAAGCTGTGTTGACTGCTTCACCCAGAATGGCTTTGGTAATTTTGCCATCCTCAACATACATCTGACTTTTTCCACAATGGTGCGATTCATTCTTTCAGCTATACCATTATGCTGCGGTGTTCCAGGTTCTGTCCTCTTCATGCCTGATCCCATGCTTTGAGCAATACTCTTCAAAGCTTTTAGATGTGTATTCCCCATCATTATCAGTTCGAATACACTTTAAGGGTAACCCTGTCATCCTTTCAACCATGGCATGAAATTTTTGAAATACTGCAGTACTGACTTTTATATTCAACATATACACCCAAGTCTTACGTGAAGCATCATCAATAAAAGTAACAAAATATCTGCTACCACTAATGACTCAACCTCAATGGGACCACATACGTCAGAATAAATTAATTCCAATCTATTTTCTTTTCTTTGAGAACTTTTACGAAAAGAAACTCTATTATGCTTACCAAACAAACAATAATCACATGAGTCGAGAGACATACCTTTGGTCAAGGGAATGAGAGAGTGCCTTGCCAAAACCTGTAACCCTTTTTCACTCATGTGTGCCAGCCTCCTGTGCCACAAGTTTGCTGAAGCATCATTTTCAACGGTATTTACCTGGTTACCGTTCAATTGCATCCATGTCTTATACATTGTGCAGCATAGTTTTCCCCTTGCAACTACCATAGATCCTTTGAGAAGCTTCCACTGTCCATTCTTTTGTCGGCTTTCATATCCCTCCTTATCAAGGACATTAATAGCAAGTAAGTTCATTCTCATATCTGGAATGTGTCTGACATCCCTTAAAGTCAACATGCAGCCTGTACTAGTTTGTACACCAATATCACCAATCCCAACAATCTGCGACACACTCTTGTTTCCCATCTTGGTACAACCAAAGTCTCCTGCTTTGTAAGTTGTAAACAACTCTCGCTTAGGAACACAATGATATGCCGCTCCTGTGTCAACTATCCACTCAATGCCGGGATCACTAACATGATTACAATCACCATGTGTACAAATCAAAGTAACTGAATCACTATCTGAATTCACTGCTGCAACATTGCCATCATCTGAACTCTTGCCTTTCTCATCTTTTCGCTCTTGCTTTAAGATTCTACAGTTTCGTTTTATATGACCCGCCTTACCACAATGGAAACACTTCACTTTACCTCTAGACTTGGATCTATGTTTAGACTTACCACGGCCTTTTGAGTCCTGACCTCTGTCGATGTTTCTACCCCTATTCTCTGTGACCAGAGCTTGATTCCCAGGGTCTACATCTTTTCGCCTCGCTTCTTCATTAAGCATACTGTCCTTTACCATCTCTAATGTCACCTTATAATCAGGAGCTGAATTAAGAACAGTCACAACTAGAGTATTCCAGCTGTCTGGCAATGAACCCAAAAGAAATAATGCCTTCATTTCATCATCCATCTTAAGTTCCATAGTAGTCATCCGATTAAATATATCTTGAAAATCATTCAAGTGCTCTGTAACAGATCGTCCATCCCTGTACTGTAAAGTTGCAATTTTTTTAACAAGCATAACTTTATTCATACCTGTTTTTCTCTCATACAATGCTGCCAATTTTTCTCAAACAATGTGAGCATCTGACTCCTGCGCTACATGATGAAACACGCTGATATCAACCCATTTTCTGATTGTAGCCAGCGTCTTTCTACCTAGCTTCTTCCAGCTTTCATCTTTCATATCTGCTGGTTTAGCCGAATCACCCAATACTGGCTCATACAAATCTTTGTAGTATAGATGATCCTCCATCATAGGCTTCCAAATTGAATAATTTGATGCTGTCAATTTTATCATGGAACCTGTATCACCCTCCATGATCTCAAACAGAATTTACTTCTATCATGGGTTGCTTCTGTATCGATGTCTCAAAATAACCCTCGTTCTGATACCACTTGTTGCGCCTGAAGCAATAATCACAACAATACAGAAGCAATAGACAACAATCAATAATCAAATGCGCAGGAAAAATAAAGCACACCAAGATTTACGTGGAAAACCCTCCAGTGTAGAGGGAAAAAACCACGGGCCACCAGAAAAATCTTCACTATCAAATAATAGTTATACAAAGTTCTTCTCTAGCTAAAACTAGAGCTAATCAACAACTAGAGAAATAATTGGAGAAATCTCACCAAATAAGTGACTCAACAAATACACCCTGGATTTGTTCCTAGAGAGCTTCAAACCCGATCTTCACCGTTCAGAATGTATAACTTTGAATCATAAACCTCCTGACAAGGTTCTAACTCAATCGGACCACGGATCGACTTCCGTTTAACCAACTCTCCCTTCTCTTTTTTCTCTCTCTGCTTTTCCTGGCTTTTCTTCTTTCTCTGCTTGGTTGTCAACACACACCTTAAACAACCCCACCTCTTTTTTATTAAGTAGCTAGGGCTCTGTGTAAAATAAAAAATCAAGGCCCATGGCCTTTACTTAGTCCAAAACCACTTACATGGGACTGGACCCCATTTTCCTAACACTTTCCAAGGTTTCAAGACCGGGGATAAGAAATTTGCTAATGATGGGTACAATTTTATGAGGAAGGTAAAGGCACATCTTTACTTCTTAACTGCGTTTAATGTTAATTGCGAATATCTCTTGTGCATAAAGATACCATATAATGTGCTTACATGTCTCCACAATTACTTTTTCTTTTTCTTCCTTTGCCTACTTAGTATATGATTCCTGTCTATTCAGTGGTTGCAAAGTCATCCCAAATTCATCACAAATCCATTCTATCTTGCTGGTGACTCATACGCTGGGAAGATTGTTCCCATAATTGCTCAAGCAATATCAGATGGTAACTCTGTGTTCATCCAGTTAAAACTTGTTCTTATCTATTGTTAAAAAAAGGGCCAATGACCAGGTTACTCATGCTGCTTCAGGTACTGAAGAAAGGGGCATTCCAGCAATTAATCTCAAAGTAAGTGATCCAATATAAAATTCTTGATTACTATGCTGACTTTTTTGCCTTACAATTGTCTTTATGACATGGAGTACGTGGATTCCAGAATGCTAAAACATATTCAGCAATTTTGCAGGGTTATTTGATTGGTAATCCAAGAACAGATTGGAGAGTTGAGGACAACTCAAAGATTTCATTTTATCATCGTATGGCACTTATCTCTGATGAACTTTATGAGGTCATTGGACAAAACCCTTGTTTTAATGCTTCTGAATAACATAAATAGATGAACATCTAGGTTGAAACTTACAGTTACTATTCCCTTAATTCTAAGTGGTTCTTCAATGAAAAATATATATAAATACATGTTCAGTGAGCCTTTTTTGCAGTCAGCCAAAAGGAATTGTAAAGAAAATTATATAGAAGTGGACGTCAGCAATCTATTGTGCGCAAAAGATCTTCAAGCTATCTCAGAGGTAGAAAAGAATGAGTAACTGTTGTTTTTTTGTTTTAATTTTATTATAGAATCACTATAATTATTTTCCTGAAATATTTCTTGGTGTTGACAAGAAAAGTTTAACAAGTTTTCCTTTTATAGTGCACTGCAGACATAAATGTACCACACATCCTGGAGCATAACTGCCCTTCTGACTTTAGAGCATTGGGTAGTTTAGACAATAAACGGAAATATTTCCTAGAAACACATGAAGACAACCTGCGTGTGCTAGCTGAGTTCCCCAAATTTGGATGTCGTGTAATGTCTTCCACTTGCTATCTTTCGTACATAACTTATGTAAATCCTTTTAGATAATTGAGCTATTGGTGAAACCTTGTTACAGAACTACAATTGTTACCTATGCAAGGTTTGGGCAACTGATATCAGTGTCCAGAAAGCACTCCATATCAGAAAGGTAAGAGTAGAAGCCCAACACCAACCAAGGAACTAGCTAAGTTGGAGTAATGTAATCTTGACATTGATTACCAGGGAACAGTCAGAGAATGGGTAAGATGTAACAACAGCTTACTTTATGATAAAGATGTTGAGAATGCTGTAGGCTATCATCTCTTTCTCAATACAAAAGGTTACAGGGCTCTAATATACAGGTCTTTTGCTGGCATACTCTGTCCTCCTTTTTCCCCTTCTTTATGGGGGTGCTTGCTGACTAGAAATTTCTTTACAGTGGTGATCATGACTCAGGTGTTCCGTATGTGGGAACTGAAACATGGATTAAGTCCCTGAATTTCTCAATCGTTGATGATTGGAGGCCATGGTTTGTTGATGGTCAAGTTGCAGGGTAAGCTTACAACTGTAAATGGATTTTGTTTCCCGTGTAGCCTGGATTCACTTTGCTGTAAAGTGTAACGGAGTATCTTGATTTTTTTTCTGATGCTTTGCTCTGCTTAAATTTTCTGTGTAGATACTCAAGGGAATATGAAAACAACTTCACCTTTGCGACCATAAAGGCAAGAGTTCCAATATTTCTGATGGTATTATTTACTAGCTAGTCAATTGAAGAAAATGAATTGTGACAGTTTCTTTTTTGCAGGGAGGGGGTCACACAGCTCCAGAGTTCAACCCTAAGGAATGCTTTGGCATGTTCAAGAGATGGATTTCCCCTGAACGATTGTGATCAACTGCTAGTTCCTAGCTGATCTTGAAGACCTGAAACCCTGGTGTGTGTTGCAATTATACCGACCAATTAAGCTATGCCAGATTTGTTGCCTTTCCTTTGAATGTATGTGATCAACTGCTAATTCCTAGTTGGTCTTGACGACTGGAAAACCTGGTGCATGTTGCAATTATATTGACCATGTAAGCTATGCTGGATTTGTTGCCTTTCCCTTGAATGTTTGTGATCAACTGCTAGTTCCTAGTTGGTCTTTAAGACATGAAAACCTTGTGCCCATTGCAATGATATTATGCTGGATTTGTTGAGTTATTGAGGCACATATCTTTACATGTGGTTGGTAGAACATTGGACTCAGTTATTTCATCGTATGGTCATTTTTTGTTTTTTTTTTTGGATAGTGTTTTCCTAAATGCCAGCTTGTTTTAGATTTGCAGTCCCATTCTCATGGGTTAACTCCTCAGAAGCCTGAGTTTGGAATCCCTCCTTCTATCAGATAACAAACGGATTTGGCATAGTGCTTTCTAAAAGCAGTCAGATTGCAATTGGGGAAATAAGCTTTCCCCTTCAACCAGAAAGTTGGTGTGGCTGTGGGCATTGGGCAGCAAAATTAGTTCCTTGTAGTCAAATTGTCCTTGGCTAATGGCAAGGCTACATTTGAATGGTCAGCCTCACAAATTTTGAAATTGGACATAAAGAAATGAACAACATCTCTCCGTCTTCTCTTTCTAATTTCGGAAATTGATACATCTTAGTAACTTGGTATGGATAGAAAATCCACAATCATCGTTTTATTTTGTCTTCCTTTCACTTTCTCTGCAACAAAGTAACATAATTTTCTTCTCTTCCACCGCCCAGTTGATTGTCTTGACTAGGAAAGCAATAAATGAAAGCATAATGTTGTAACCAACCAGGAATTATATTTACAAGTATAACTTCCTCACAAGATCAGCACACATGAAAAAAATCCCTCATGCATAAACAAGTGGAGGATCCTCCCGTGCTGTGGCTCACTGGAGACCCTGGCTGCACTACTGTTTCTGGGGTTTTTCTTGAAATAGGTCATTTCTGATTGTTTCCGCTGTTCTACGTCAGGAAGTTATGAGACGTTGTTTTCAATTTATCTTACAACTTAGAGGCTCATTTCCACCGTAATGGAGCTTGCGCTAAAATGTGACATGATGTTAACGTAGTATCTGATTCATTTTAGACCCCTTGCAATTTAACGTCTTCGAGTAAAATATGGCAGATTACCAGCTTTTGCTCTGATCCCTTACTCATGGACAAAGGTGAAATCATTCATGACTATATATAATAGCTGTATGAGCATACAATATGCAGCTTCCACTTGCTAGTACTTGATTTGTGAACATCCTTGATAATTACTTTTTAGGTTGCAATTATAATCTTCCTAGATGCACGTGTTTGCACTGGATTCTCTTATTCAAGGACCTTGTAAGGTTTCAAGACCTGGGATATTAAATATGCTATTAGCAGTTATAATTTTCTGAGGAAGACGTAGACAGATCACAACTGCATTTGATGTTAACTGCTAATATCTCTTGGACATAAATATATACCGCATACTGTTCTCATTGCAAAAACGTCAATAAATTTTATGAGTCTGTCCCTTATTATCAAAAATTTATATTGATCTCATATTTATAAGTGATGGATTTTTATATTTTTTATTATGATTAAATAATTATAGTATTATAGTAAAAATAATGACAGGTGAAATGCAGTCCATTTCATGCCGGAAGCAGAGTAAAAAATAATCTGTTCAT